AATTTTATTTATTTTATTTTCTTGGTAGAGATTTTTTAGAATTGACATTAATTCTTCTTTAAACATTGGATTCTCCAGTGTTATCATGCAGGCCTGGGTCTTTTGGGGGAGTTGTTACATTACAAGTTGAATTTTCTTAATTGTAAGGTGGCTATTCAAATTATCTATTTCATACTCGGTAAGTTGTGGTAGATTGTTTTTCAAGGAATTGGTCATTTTTGTCTAAGTAGTCAAACTCATGTGTAGAGTTGCTCGTGATATTCTTTAACTATCTTTTTTATGTTTGCAGGCTCTGTAGTGACATCCTCTTTCATCCATGATTGTACTAATTTGTCTTTTTCTCTTCTTTGTCACATCATTTGTCAAAATGTAATGTAATCAATTTATAAATGTTTGACAAATTTTTAACAAATCTTTGCTCTGTAAAATAATAAAATTATATTTATAAAACTCTATTTTTATTTTTCTAGAGTGTTTTTGAGTGTATGTCTTCATATAGTTTTTTTGTGGTTGCTCTTTGCAGTACATTATATATACATAACTTATCACAGTCTACTAGAGTCACCATTTTACCAGTTCAAATGAAGTATAGAAATCTTGCCTCCATGTATGTCCCTTTATCCTTACCTGTTTATAACATAATTGCCTTAAATGCTTCATTTACATACATTTAGAACTATATGAGACAGTTTTCTAATTCTTGCTTCAACCATCAAGCATAATTCAGAAAACTCAAGAGGAGAAAGAAAGCCTATCATGTTTATTTATGTGCTTGTTTACCATTCTCCATCTTTCTTCCTGATGTTTGAAGGTTCCTTCTGTTATCATGTGCTTTCTGTTTAGGGAACTTCCTTTAGCCATTCTTTTAGAGTAGATCTGATGGTGACAAATCAGCTTTATTCCCCATCATTGGAGAATGTCTTGATTTTTCTTCTTTGTTCCTAAAGGATATTTTCCCTGGGTGTAGGATTCTGGGTTGACTGAAAAGTTCTTCAAATAGAAAAAAAAGTGATAAAAGAAAGAAGCTTAGAAAATCAGGAAGAAATAAGGATGAAGAGAAAAACCAGACATATGGGTATATACAATAGACTATCATTCTCATGAATTTTATACATTATATTCAACGATTAAAGATATTTGCAAACAATGTGACAGACATTGTGCTAATACGTGTAAATATAAAGGAATTTGCTAATCAGTAGAGGAAGGACCTAATATATCAACGAAGAATTTACCTAAAAAGTAAAATGCATTGCCAATAAACATCTGGATAGATGCCAAACCACATTAGCTGATAAAATGAAAATACAGTTACACTAAGTAAAAAATACGCTTTGCAGAAAAGTGTTCATGTAATTGAAAAACTGAAAAATAATATGCAAGCATATAAAATGTTTATAAATATTTAAAGCTAGGTAAACACATCTGGTTACACAGAAAAATACAACTGGAAAAGATGTACCAATGTATTTACAACGGATATCTGTAAGCCTGTCTTCTTATAGATGGGATATATATAACAATTTGATATCTAAATATACTTTTAAGTGCTTAATATTTTGTAATTATGGAAATTTGTTGAAAGAAACACTTGAAAATATCTAATAACCAACTGACAAAAATATTTATTGTTTTAGAAAAATGTTCACACTGTATTGTTTTGTAAAAAAAAAAACATTACAACTCTTGACATGACAGTTTATGTGTGTATGTGTGTGTGTTTTTGTCTTACATTTTCCTCACCCCAAATGTCCACATAGTCTCATATGATTTCTCTTTATCTCACTCAGGGGCTAGGCTTCCTTTCTGAGGGCATAGAGCTCAGAAAGAGATTGCTGCCAGGGGGTGGAAAATTCCAGAAAGTTCTGGCTGATGCACTGGAGCCCTGATCTCCACCTCATTCCCTCCTCCTATCAAAGCCTTCTGGTCTAACTTTCAGAGCTGCAATTCTGGCTCTGACCACCAGGGGACATCTATCAACATGGAATACTTTTTTTTTAGGAAGATTAGCTCTGAGCTAACATGTGCTGCCAATCCTCTCTCTCTCTCTCTCTTTTTTTTTTGCTGAGGAAGATTGGCCATGAGCTAACATCCATGCTCATCTTCCCCTATTTTATATGTGGGACACTTGCCACAGCACGGCTTGATAAGTGGTACGTAGGTCCATGCCCAGGATCTGAACTGGTGAACCCTGGGCCACCAAAGTGGAGCACACGAACTTAACCACTGTGCCACGGGGCCGGCCGCCACATTTTTTTTTTTAAAGGAAGAGGCATGACGTTTTCCCTCTACTTTCATTCCAGTGACTCACTAAACTCTGTTTGTGATTTCCTTTATATTTTTTAGGTCTATTTTATGTGATCTCTCTGGGATGTGCTAGAGTTATTTCCTGACATGTGGCTATTTTCAGTCCTTTGTATTACTCTATGCTAACTTAAGAAAATCCCATATATTGCATAAAGAGTTTATTAAAGCTATGCATGGTGGGATAATCCTCACTTCATGGAACTCAGTTCCAGTCTCCTTTCTTCCCTTTATCATCTGAATGACCTCATACAAGATCCCATATGCCAGTAAGCATCAGCAACCTCAGAAAGGACAAGGACCTGATGACTCAGAGTCCTCTCGTGAGGAATACATGAAGGAAGAGAATGCAGTGGGCCCAGATTCTGGCCTTTGGAGTTCCCTGGATATATAGCTACAAGTGCTTGGGACCCAGCCTTCTAAACTGTACTTGGCCTCCTCTGCAGGGGTGCCTCAGCTGGAAATGACTCCCTGAGTGTTAGGCTAGTAGCTAACTCAGGGGGCAGTAAGAACAGAAAGTTAAAAGTTTTCTTTGGCCACCAGGACTCTCCTCTCTATGCCCCTGGGGAAAGGACTTCCCTTAAGCACTCCATCTCACTTATGCAGCCTTGATGAGGTTTTAGGGTCTGCTCTCACCTTCCTCAACAAACTTCCTCAGATCTGCCGCAAACCCTCCAGCTCCAGACTCCACAGATTCTCCGCAGCAAACACTGTGAGGACTGTGGTGACTGGTCACTTCCTTCAGACCACATCATAAGTGAGTTGGTCAGCATGAGGCCTTGGCCTCAGATCCCCACAGGGCCAGAGAGATTCTAGGCCCACTTACTACCCCAAACCATAGGACACCCAGCTGATCCCCTCTTTAGGTGGGGAAGGTGAGGGCCCAGGCTGACTATTTTCCACTCCCTTGAGGAAATGGGCCACATGGATCCTGACACTCTCATCCTGGTTGCACATAGAAAACCTCCCCTCCAGTGGCTATGATCACAACTGAGCTGAGAACTTCCCATTGGTTGCGAGGAAAGGCCTGACTCATGTGATCGTCTCTGGTCCAGAATTTGGGGATTGGGGTGGGTTACCTGGGGAGGTGGGTATTCAAAATTAACATTCTTTGGATGCATACTAGAGGTGGGGGAAGGGCAAAGAACCCACCATTACCTTTGAATTTTCACACCAATCATTCTGGTTATATTATATTATCCCCATAGAGGTTTCTCCAGTCTTGCTTTATGGCCCGTCGTGTAATCCATTCTGGAATGTTCTGTGTAGTTAACTGTTATGTACAGTGTTCTATTTCAATTAAGTAAATTTTGTTACTCACGTTGTTTAAATTTTCTCCATCTAACCAAATTTTTGTCTGCCTGTTAATTGTCACTCGTGAGCTGTGTTAAAGTGTCCCACATGACTGTGGATTTTTTTATTTCTCCATTTACTTCTGTCAATTTTTGATTTGCATAGTTTGGCTCTATCAAGAGGTGCATGCACACTTAGAATTGTTTCATTAATATCTTCCTGCTGAATTGAACCTTTTATTATTATGAAATCTCCCTTTTTTCCCTAGTAATCTTTTTCCACATAGTATACTTTTTTCTCTAATTAATATGGTTTTAACAACTTGATATCTTTTGCTGCTTTTGGAAAATCAATCATGATTTCTTCAAATATTGCTTCTCTACTATTCATGCTCTTTCCCTCTAGGGCTACAATTAAACATACCTCCGTTAAATCTTGCCCCCTTTCTTTTGGAATCTTCTATCATTTTCTCTTGCCAAGCTTCATTCTGGATATTTTTTCAGATCTATCTTTCACCAAACTTTCAGGGTAGATTTTATTAGTCCCTTAGAGCAGAGGAGGCAGGTGAGAGTTAGAGAAATTAAGTAACTTGTCCTAGGCCACCCAGCCCACAAAAAACAGCAGGAATTCTCATCCCAGAATGGACCTTTAACCCAAACCCTTTCCCACTGTGCTTGCTCCCTCCTGGGCGTGGAGTGCTTCCAGCTCCTTATCCCCCAGGACGTAGAACCATAGTGGAGTCTTCCAATTTTTTTTTTGAATGTGCTCTATATCTTTTCTGATTACAAAAATCAATGCTATTTCTTCATTAGCCATAATACTATCCCAGGACTTTTGTTTCGGTATCATACTGTTGATGTGTTTTTATCTTGCTTTTTGGGTTTTTTTATTTTTGTTTTTTTCTCTGTTGTTGTTTCCAATCTCAGAGCCCAATTATCAAGTTAGTTCCTTTCAAAGAAGAGCAAGATGCTAGGGTATTTTCCAAAGGGGGTATAGAAATTTGTCCAAAGCAGGCAGTTCTGGCATTCATCCTTCACTTCACCAGGAGCAAGATGGAGATGCAGCAATAACTGAAGCCAACGTGGGCCCCAGAATAAGATAGTAAGTGACCAGTCAGCATGACTGGAATGTACCAACCAGTGGAATACATAACCATGTAGTTAACTATATCATTCTTCCTTTTCCTCCAACTAGGCCGAGTGAGGAATACTAGGACTGATTAGCGCTTGAGCAAACTTTATTATAGCCCTAGTATCTGTGGAGCAAACCTATATAAAAGACTTTCTTAGCATTCATGGATTCCTTCCTTCTCTCCTGTCCACCACAACATTCCCTATGCCCTTCAACCCTACCGAAAGAGAGTCAAGTGGTATTATAGAAACCGGATCCATGCTTTTATGGACATGTGGACAGATAGAATGCCTCCAGAGAGAGAAAGGGAGGAGAAAGGGCAAGATGGAACCCCAGGGACTTGGTTTAAAATCACAGCGAGTATCCTGGCAAAATGTATTGAATGTACAGCAGAGACAGGTCAGGGGGAGTCTTCTTGGTCTCATGTAAAGATGCTAGTACTTTGCTGGGAGCAGGAGGAGTTGGTAATCTGTTCTTTTTATTACTAGGAGTTAATATCCTCAATCCTCTAAGGGCAGGTTCAGAGAAGTGACAACAAGAGACAGGCTGACTTCAGGAGGTCCAGGGAGGTTGTCTAAAGGAAAAGATAGAAACTACTGCCGAGAAAATGGAGCAACTCCCTGAGGATGCCTTAGTTAGGCTTAAGCTGAATGTGTGTGTGGCAGAGGTGTGGGGGCGGGGGGATTCGAATCTCTGGAGTCTTATTGCAGAGGAAGGCAGTGTCTGCATTAGGTAAGATCTCCTCGAAGCTTATAAAAGAAAAATCCCCTTAAACATTTTAAGCTGATTATTTGGAGGACAATGTTTTAATGGAGACAAAGAGAATTTCTATAAGATACAGAAAAGAGAAATCATGTCCATGGTACCTTCTCTCTCTCTCTCTCTTTTTTTTTGTTTTTGCTGAGGAAGATTGGCCCTGAGCTAACATTTGTTGCCAATTGGCCTCTTTTTGCTTGAGGAAGATTGTTCCTGAGCTAACATCTGCACCAATCTTTCTCTATTGTGTATGTGGGTTGCCACCACAGCATGGCTTAATGATCAGTGTGTAGGTCCGTGTGTGGGAGCTGAACATGTGAACCCCAAGCTGCCAAAGCAGAATGCACAAACTTAACCACTATGCTACCAGGCCAGCCTCCACATGGGAACTTCTTATTTTTTTTTAAGAAGATTAGCCCTGAGCTAACCTCTGCTGCCAATCCTCCTCTTTTTTACTGAGGAAGACTGGCCCTGAGCTAACATCCGTGCCCATCTTCCTCTACTTTATATGTGGGACACCTGCCACAGCATGGCTTGACAAGTAGTGCATAGATCTGCACTTGGGATCTGGACTGGTGAACCCTGGGCTTCCAAAGCAGAACGTGCGAACTGAACCGCTGTGCCACCGGGCTGGCCCCTCATGGTACGTAACTTCTTTAGAGAGTCATTTAACTGAGTGAAAAAGTCTAAAAGAAACTCTGATTAGATACATTTTCCAGATTTAAATTCATCATGTTACTCTCTTTTCCCATCTTTTCTCTCACTCTTAGGTTCCATTTGGCATAAAGTATGACGAGAAGTGGCTGTTGAATTTGATTCAGAAGAAATGCAGTGTCCCCTTCACCCTGGTCAAAGTAAGAGAGGACAGTGAGGCAGATGAGTGGAAACAAGGCAGGTGGAGGGTCCAGATGAGCAGGGCCCTCTGGTCTCATATTCTGTTTCTCTTGCCACTCTCCCCATAGTTTCACTATGAGAAAATGCAGGCCCAGTTCTTCGTTGACAATGCCAACATTGCCTTTGCATTGAAGAATATCAATGGCAAGATTTGGGATAAGAATAATGAAAGGGTGTGTGTGAAAGACATGACCAGGGCTAGCGAGGGGCAAGAGGGCAGGACAGGGACAAGGTCTTGCTTGATCCCAAGGCTCAGATTTCCTGGTGCTTACCCAGCCCCTCTTGTGTTTTTTGCAGATATCTATCTTTGTCAGCCCCTCTGATGCTCCCTGCTCTGTGCAGAAGGAGCTGAAGTCAGAAAAGGTGAAGCAGATAAAGTTAGTGCAGACTCAAACGAGTTGTGCACTCACATGCAGACCCACCTCTTCCACCCCCGCCTATTACCTCCCTTCACCACCTCAGACTCAGAGCCACTAAATCCCATCTCTAACTCTGCAGCTGACCATGAACAAACTATATGATGTCTCCCAGCAGTCTCTTGACATCCACAAACTCCGCTTTGACCCTGGTAGGCTCCAGCAGTAATTCTAGGGAGGGCGAGGGCAGAGGGGTCTAACTGTTGGGAAGGAGACTTAGGGATGGAAACCTGGGGAGGGGTTGCTGCTGGGGCTGTACCAGCTGGGCCCCTCTCAGCCTTCTCATTCCCTCCTCTCGGCCTCCTGGAGACTTGATGACCCTTGGTGTGGAAATGGTACCGAATCCTAGAAATGACACAGTTGCCTCCCTGCAGGTCCATGGAGAGAACATGCCCAAGGTGAGGACTTGGGTCCACTGCTGGGATTGATGGTGAGGGGGGCAGAGTTCAGGTAGAAGAGGCAGATTGGTCTCAGATATCCCTGGTTGGGATCCTCACTCTAACTCTTTCCTCATCATAGCTTTTGCCCTGGATCCTGAGCAACACGAAACCCTGCCAGCTGGTTGGCCTGTCCAACACTATGCAGAATGCCTCCAACATCAAGAACTTGAACCTCCCCAACAACGAGGTGAGGTTCAGTACCCAGATCCTTCTTTGAAGGGAAGGTGGGAGGGCACATGGGGTGGTGGCAAGAGGCTGGAAGTGGATTTGTTAGCAAACATAGGAACTGGGGTGCAGGGTCATCCTGGCTCTCTTCCTCTGGTCCACGTTGTTGCTCCTTATAATCACAGGTGAAGTCTGCAGGGAAGTTGGACAAGGGTAAAGGGCTGAAGCCAGAAGAGATGAGCACAGACAGAAACTCCCTGTGCACCACCTTCCCAGATAAGTCAACCAACATAAGGTCAGTTGTACCCTCTGTTGCCTCCTGGGAGCCTGAGCTACTCCTGACAGTGACTGTTTGCAGGAAGCAGCAGTCTTGGTCTTCTGGGAGGACCACAGGCCCTGCCATCTCTTTCTCTGTGTCCCTCACCTGTGTTTAGAGGACAGGCCTCTCAGGGACACTTCCCTCCCTCCACAAGTTACATCATCCTGCTTGGACCTTCAGAGTATCCCTGGGTCTCCCAAGATGGGTGTGATTCCTCAGACAAGGACTCGACTAAGACAGACACAGCTGCACAGGGGCCATCAGGAGAGGAGTCGGTGGTCATAGAGGGGGCCACAGACCCTCAACTTCTTGCTGAGCTGGGACCTGACCCTTTACTCTTTCTGGGGAAGGTCTCTTGCTCCTGTGGCTGCTCCATTTCCCATTCTCAGCTCAGACTGAGCTCACACAGGTGACAAAGTGTCAACCAGCATCCAATGAGTCCCCAGCCCAACAAGTGCACCTTTTCCATTCTGACCTCAGGTCCAGGGCCAGCCAGGGTGGGTGAAGGAAAGGGCTGCAGCAGGGGAGCCATTACACCTTTCTTCTCTCTTCTTCCCTGACCCCCACCACCAGGGCAGAGCTTCTTTCTCTTCCCTTTGCTTTGCTTTCTCTCTCTCCCTTGTCTCTACTCCCCTATGTTCCTCTCATCTCTGTCCTCCTACCTCCACTCCCTCTCTGTTCTCATCCACTACTCTTCCCTCCCAGCCTCTTGAGTCCAGCCTCACTCACCTCCATGCTCCAGCATCATGGGCCATCCCTGGGGGTGTCCTGCTCCTGGCAGAATGCTGGACCCCCAGTGAGGTAGCAGAGCCGTGGGCTCCCACTCCATTCCCTCTCCTCTTTGGAGCCTTCAGTGAGGTCTTGGAAGAAGGAAGGGGGGCAGGGAGGGGAAGGAAGCCCTGGACCTGGGCTCCACATGCTGTGATGTGCATGGGAAAGGAGTCAGAGCAGTCTAGGTGAGAGCTACCAAGGGGGAAGGGGAGGAGGCGGGGAGGGAGAAAGTGAGAGAGAGCAAGCAAGCCCTCTTCCTATGGGTCAGTCCATGGGGGAGGTGCCCAGGGCCCTGGAGGGCTGCAACACAGGAGTGTAGGTGGGACACCCTGGGCTGTGTCTCTGATGTAAATCTGCTTGCTTTCATGAGGAAGGACACCTCCACAGTTTCACTTTTCTGTTTTGTCTTGATTTGGGCAGCTCCATCCTGGAATTGTTCCCCAAGTTTTTAAGCTTGGTAATTGTATTCCGTGATCATTGACTCCTCTAATTGACACTGACACTGCCCACAACCTGGTCTGAACCCCTTTAGGTCTTTCCCAAGTTACATTTTTGAACATGAGCCTTAAACCTCATGGTGGGAGGGTGGTGGTACACACCTATGTGGGCACCTGACAAAGGCTCTCAGTCTTATTCAACAACATTCTCCAAAGGCTTCAGGGACACCTTGATGATGATCCCAAATGTAACCTTGCCCGTGGAATTTGCAGGGCCCTTTCACACCTGACCTCTGACCCTTACCCCCTGCTGGACCCATCCTTTTCCCTGATGATCCAGCACCAGCTCCTGGTCAGCACTGCTGACTTGCTCTTCCCTTCCCCAGGATGGCCAGGAGTCACGCCCACCAACTAACTTTGGTATTGAAGCCCACAAGAGGCTACCAACCTGCAAGGTGAGGAGGGAGGACCAGGCAGAGTTTTGGGCAGTGCATGAGGAGGGGTATCAGCTGTGGTCCTGAAAACTGTTGTAATTTCAGGGAAGCTTCTTTGAATCTGATGCGCTGAAGAGTCTAGTCCTGCAATTCCTGTGGCGGTAAGTACTCCTGGGAATCTGAGGAAGGGGACGGCTGGGCCGGGGGAGGCCGCCTAAGCTCAGGTCTGCTTCTTGGGTCTTTGAAGTCTCATTTGGAGCCCGAGTCACACAGGCAGCTTGTCCCTTCTGTTCCCCCACAGATATTACCTGACCTATGACTCTGGAGACCGACAGGGTCTTCTCGGTGCTTACCTTGACAAGGCCTGCTTTTCCCTGAGCGTCCCTTTCAACCCCAAGGACCCAGCTCCGTGAGTATCGCAGCTCAGACTCTGTTCCTGGGCCCTGTGGCTCCCCAGCAGACACAGGCCAGCTCTTGGAAACACCCAGTGGACAGACCACCACCTCCTGTTCCTCTTTCTCTCCTAGAAGCATCTTGTGCGAGTACGTCAGGGATAACAGGAATATAAAGAAACTCAAGGACCCCTGTGCGTGTGGGAAGATTGGGCAGGGAAAGGGGTCATGGAGGGGTCAGTCAAGACCCAGGATGTGGCAGTCCCTGACTTTCACTTTCATCCCCCCACAGACCTGTGGGTTCACCTGTTGAAGAGTACAAAACATGACATCGTGCACTCTCTCTGTGTGTTGCCCACAACTCAGCATGACTTCAGCTCCTTCGTGGTGGACCAGTGGCTCCAAACGGTGAGCACCTGCTTCCTCCCTCAGCCAGGCCCAGAAAGCTGCAGGTGGGTAGGAGGCTTAGGTGGTGACTGAGCCCCTGGGCTCTTCCCTTTCAGGAAAGGGTGCTGTGCTTCTCTGTCAACGAGGTGTTCAAGGAAGGTGAGTGTATGTGGAGTCTCCACTAGATGCCCCACTGCTCCCTCTCCCTGGCTGGGCTCCCCCTCAGAACTCACCCAGCTTCCCTGATCCCTTCCCCTCTCTTCCTACTCCCTCTGTGTTCTTCAGTCCCCACTCTGCCTCCAAACCATCCTGGTCTGATCTGCGTCCATGCCTGTCTGCCCCGCACAGCAGGCACAGGGACACAGGCTGTGGAGTTTGATGTCTCTCATCCCAGATACTTACTCTGTGAACTTGGGCCAGTTACTTAACCTCTAAGTTTCTTCATTTGAAAAACGGGGTTAATAATATCCACCTCTTGGGTAGCTGTGAAAAATGAACTAAAGGAACTTGTGAAGTAGTTGTCACAGAGCCCGACACATAGCAGGGTCCCTGTCACTGGGAGAAGGCTGCTCCCAATTTTGCCCCCTCCATTCTGGAAAGCTTGATTCCCAGGGGAAAAGTGTTCCCTTCAGCATGAGTACCAAGGCAGACCCTGACTAACACTGTGTGAGCATGTAAAGCATGTGTCACTCTAAGGAGGTATTGTTGTTTGTCGGCTTTTTTTGAAGTCGTGAGAAAGTCAAAAGGTTCTGTTCGTGCCTTTACATGGACCTTCATCACTATCCTTGCCAGCAATTCCAGGTGAGTGCTGTGTTGTGAGTGGGAACATCCATCCCAGTCTGGGCTTAGGGGTGTCAGAATGTGGTGGTACAGCCCTTGGGGTTTTCTCAATATTATAGAAAGTCAATGGGTAGAGCAAAGAAACAGTCTAGCCTAGCAGGTAAGAGCATGGGCTCTGGAGTCAGAATATTTGGCTCTTTTATTGACTCCTATGCTGACTAGATGTGTGATCTTGGTCAAGTCACATGACCTCCCCAGGACTCACTGTCTTCTTCTGAAAATAAGGATGAGACTGTCCATTCCCTTGTGCTGAGTACAGGGTAAATGAGAGTGTAAAACCATCCCTGGGTGAAGCTGGTAGACAATCTCTCCAAAGGTGGGCTCTGTGGGAGGAATAGAGGTACCAGCCAAGGGAATCTGAGGGGCAGGCACAGTAGGGGTATGGAAGGAATCTGGTTGCTGTGTGCAGTGGGAGTAGAATCGTTGTTGGGGGTGTGGGGTTGTCCGTCTGTCCGTTTGTCCAAGGGCTCATTTTCCTCCTCTATGCATCATAGAGTGATGAGCTGTTTGTGAGCACTCCACCTCCAACAAGACGCAGAGCCCCTTCTCCATCCAGGTGCCCACACCCTCCTCCAGCTCCGTGCCTATGCTCTGCCCGGAGCAGCAGGAGACGGTGCACGCTTTCTCAGCCCAGTCTGGGATGAACCTCCAGTAGTCTCAGAAGTGAGTGCTGTGTGTGCACAGGATAGGAGGGAGCTTGGAGGAGCAGAGGAGTGAATAATGGAGACTGGCATGTAAAGATTTGACATCTATTTATTTTTTTCGTGCAAGTTCACGTGTGAAAAATGTTCTAATTTTATACTAATATATTTAAATATATTATAAAACTCAGTTTTCCTACCATACATATTGTTTTAAAACTTCTTGTTTATTTATTGTTAGCAACAGTATAGTTTCTCTCAGTATATGTTAAGCTACCTTTTTCCTTCTGAGATCTGTATACTAAACAATTGAATTCCAGTAGGCCATAAGCTATTACTGATAGACATTTGCCTTTTCACTGCTTTTTCAACATTACATTCAGTGCCACCTGCTCATTCTGGTACATAACATCTTGGTAAACTTGGGGGCTTGTTCCTATAGCATAGATTTAGCAGTGACATTGTGTGGTCAAAGTGTCTCCACTTAGGTCCTAAGGGAGGTCATCTGTCCCCACTCACCATGGTTGTTTTCAGTACAATGACTAGACTATACCACCACTGCAAAACTCTTTACTTATCAAAAAGTGAAGTATGAGAATTCAGAGATATAAAGAAATGGATCTCCACGTTTTCAGGAAGGCTAAGTAGACAGAAGCCAGTTGTCCTGGGAATGAAAGGGCTCCTGGCTCTGCTGACACCCCAATTCTCTCTCTTCATTATCTCCAGATGAAGGGCAAAATCCCAGAGGAGGCCTTCATGCAGTCACCTAGGATCTTGAAAACAAAGTCCTATAAAGGAGCCCTTAGATGTTCTCCTTTTCATCCTCACCGTATTTGTTGTATCTTTCTTCCAACCTGAAGCCACATCCATGGCTATAGTTGGAGCCCAGCTGACCAAGCAGCCGAAGTTTACCTTGTAGGTCTGCCAGTCGTTCTGTACTTTTCCCACTCAAGATCCTTGTTTATTTTCATATTAAAAAATGACATTGCACATTGTATGTTGTGTATCTTGGATTGCTCTTCTTCTGCCCCAGCCATGAGCCAAAAAGACCAGGACTAAAGGTCTTGTCTCCGCCTTCATCCCTGGCAGTCTCTAGCATTTATATCAGCACTCCACAGTGTTTGAAAATTATAGAGGAGGGACTCAATTCCTGGACTACCCTAAAATCCAGACTTTGCTCCCTGCGTCCTGATTATCTTCTCTCCACCACTTCACAGTAACTCACAAGCTGCGACCCTTTCAACACTCACATCTATAAACAAACAACATCTTTGTCAAGTAAAGTGCTGTATTTATTGTAGTATTTATGAATTTCTTAATCATTTAACAAATTTAAAATGATGCTAACGTTTTTATTAAGTTCTTATTCTTATTTTTAATATGTCATTGAAAGAGTTTTTACTATTGTGTACCTAACCCTATTTGTCCCACAAGTTCTGCATTGTTTTTTAACTTTCTATTTGGAAATAATTATTGATTCACAAAACATGGCAAAAATACGTGCAGGGAGGTCACATATATGCTTCACTCATCTTCTCCCGGTGAAAACATCTTGCATTACAACAGTACAAGATCAAAACCAGGAAACGGACAGTTTTACATGCTCTCAGGTGTGTATTAGAGTGTCTCTGTGTGTATTATAATTCCATGCACTTTTACCAGCTATGTGGCTTCTATGGCTATCACCGCTAACAAGATACAAAACTGTTCCATTACCACAATGAGGTTCCATTACCTCATGCTATCCTTTATAGCCACACCTACCTTCTCCCTGGCCCCACATCCCTAACCTCTATCAAACACTATTGTAATTTTAAAAATGTCACATAAATAAAATCATAGAGTATATAACCCTTTGGAATGGATTTCCTTCACTCAGCATCATTTCCCTTAGATCAATCCAAGTTGTTAAGTGTATTGATAGTCTGTTCCTTTTTTACTGCTGAATAGTATTCTGTGGTATGGAGGTAGTGCAGTTTGTTTAACCGTTTACCTATTGAAGGACACCTGGGCTGTTTCCACTTTTTAACTATTATGAATAAAACTGTTATGAACATTCGTGTACAGGTTTTTGTGTGAACATAAATTTTTATTTCTCTCAGTAAATTACCCAGAGTATAATTGCTGTATCATATGGCAATTCCTTGTTTAGTTTTGAAAGAAAATGCCACATTATTTTCTAGAGTGCCAGTAACATTTTACATTCCCATTAGTGATGCATGAGTGACTCAGTTTACCCATAGCCTTGCCTTGCATTTGGTGTTGTCACTATTTTTTAGCCATTCTGATATGTGTGTGTAATACTTCACTATGGTTTTAATTTACATTTCCATGATGGCTAAAGATGTTGAACACCTTTTCATGTGCCTATTTGCCATCAGGAAAATGTGTGTTCATGTCTTTTGCCCATTTTCTAATTGGATTAAGAGGCCTGAAGGTATTTCTAAAGAGAGCTGCCCTAACTCAGGCTAACAGGCAGAATAAGAGACCAAAAAGCCCCTCACTTTTCTTGGCAGGGAGGGCAGAAGTGGGCCTGAAGCCACTTAATGTGGCTCAAATTATGACTGACCTTGGACTTGAAACAGGACTAAGAGGTGAGAGAATTTCCGGGTCCATCTGTGTGGATCAGCATAGAGCAGAAAAAGAAGGGAGATATGGGGAGGGGTAAAAATAGTGAAAGGAGGGAGATATGAGCAGGAAATGCCTTCTACGTGATGCTACACTCATCGCTCTCATCCTACTCTATAGGATACAAAAAAATTATTCTCCTAGACCTATGCTATTCAACTTTGAATATCCATTAGAATCCCCTCCAATGCTCAGACTCAACCAACTGAATGAGAATCTCTATGGATAGGTCCAGTTATCAGTATCTTTAAAGTTCCTCAGTTGATTCTAATGAGCTGTCAAAATTGAAAACCTTATCTGATGGTATATTAGTTTGCTAGGGCTACCGTAACAAGATACCACAGACTGAGTGGCGTAAACAACAGAAATTTATTTCCTCAGTCTGGAGTCTAGAAGTCCAAGATCAAGATGTCAGCATGTTTGGTTCCTTCTGAGCCCTCTCTCCTTGGCTTGCAGATGGCCGCCCTCTTGCTCCTTTTTCACATGGTCATCCCTCTGTGCATACATGCCCCTGATGTCTCTGTGTCCTAAACTCCTTTTCTTAAAAGGACACCAATCAGATTGGATTAGGGCCCACCCTAATGGCCTCATTTTAACGTCATCACCTTTTTAAAGGCTCTGTCTTCAAACACAGTCACATTCTGAGGTACTGGGGACTAGAGCTTCAACATATGAATTTAGGCGGGATACAATTTAGTCCACAACAGATGGTGTTAGAAATACCTTGGTCTGAGAAATTCAGCTCCCTTTCAGTTGCCTTCCTGGAACTACCAGACAACACTTCTGCAGTCACCTCACTAGGCAGGAGTTTGTCATGTGTCCACACCTCGCTGCAAAGGAGGCTACACATGGGGTATTTTACTGGGAACATTACTGTCCCAAATAAATTTGTGATTCTCTCATTAAGAAAGAAAGAAAATTGGTATAGAACATGTGCTACACTGTTACACCCAAGGCAGCTAGAAGCCCTCTCTCAATTATCGTCTTCTTTCTACCCAATTTTCCAGTCATAATTTTCCTGGATTCAGACAAAACTGCTGCTTCAGAGACACCTGAACTCGCTTTCCCATCCTCTCAAATCCTCTGTCCCAAACTCTGCCTGGCTCATCACAATTTAGCTTACGTATGTTTAATACATGTCATTCATTCATTCAACAAGTATTTATTGGTTACCAACAATATGAGAGGCACTGTGATAGGCACTGGAGATAAAGCAGAGAATCTGATGGACACAGTCCTGGTTCTCATGGAGCTTGCATTCTAAAGGGGTTGATATACTCAAGAATTAAATACTATTACAAAAATAATATGGGGGAAGTGTGATAGAAGATGACTAGGGTGGGGACGTCAGGGAAGGATTTTCTGAAGAAATGACTTTGATCTGATACTCAAGCAGCAAACAGTGGGAAGATATAGGAGCTGAGCCCTCCAGGCAGAGGGAACAGCACGAAGAAAGGCCCTAAGGTGTGAACAAGCCTGGAATGTTTAGGAAACAGCTTGGATGCCAGTGTGAATTAGAAGGATAGTGTTAGGAAAATGGAGTTAGAGTGGTAGGAGGAGCCAGATCACAGAAGGCCTTGTGGGCCAGTAAGAACTCTAGGTTTTGTTCTATTACGATGGAGCCATCGGGGCACTTTAAGAAAGGTAGGGGTATTATTATAATCTACTTTATTAAAACTCACTCTGAATGTTCTTTGGAAAACAGACTAAAGTAGAGCAACAGGAGGAGAAAAGGAGATGAGTTAGGAGGCTACTACAGACATGAGAGTGAGAGGTTACGGTGGCATGGACCAGGATATTAGTATTGGATGGGGTGAGAAGGAGTTTGAACTAAGATGTACTCTGGAAGTACTGAACTTGCTGATGAAGTCTATGTTTGTTGCAAAGGATCAAAAGGAATCAAGTGTGTGTCTTGGAATGTGGATCTTTGCAATTGCTGGTTCTACATATGAGCAGGACGCAGGTCTAGATTCTGGAAGGGATACAAATATATTTTAAAAATTGACTTTAGTGAGCTATAATTTATGTTCAATATGATGCATCCATTTTAGGTGTATAATTTGGTAAGTTTGGATAAATGCATTCACACATATAACCACTACAATCAACATATAGAACATTGATACAAAAGCTTTTAAGATCCTATCACTTGCTTCAAGAAGTTCATCATGTTTTTAGAAAAAAATGTATACACATGAGTTAGAGAAAGATATAAAGAAGCAAAGGATAAGTTTTAAGGATTGGAACAGTTTTTGAAGGTTGTAGCTTTGGTGAGGATATCCATCGGGAAATACCTGGTTCTACATTTGAGCCAGGAGGTTTTCCAACAACATAGAAGGCCAAGGCAGGGGCTGGCCCAGTGCCAGTGGAGTAGTGGTTAAGTTCTCATGCCCTGCTTCTGCAGCTTGGGGTTCACAGGTTCAGATCCAAGGCATGGACCTACACACTGCTCATCAAGCCATACTGTGGTGGTATCCCACATGCAAAACAGAGGAAGATTGGCATGGATGTTGCCTCAGCGACAATCTTCCTCAAACAAAAAGAGAAATATTGGCAACAGATGTCAGCCCAGGACGAATCTTCCTCACCAAAAAAAAAAAAAACAGGTCAAGGGAGAAGTCAGGCCATGACACCACAAGACTTTCTTGACCTAAAATATCTCACTAATATAAAATGCCATAATTACTCACCACCTTGGCTTGAAATATTTGGAATTACCTTTGAAATATGAGTAATAAAATGCACATAAATTTCCCAAAAGGGATGTCTTTGGGATATGTAGAAAGCCAGCACTCCACTAACATATGCACGTGGAGTCATTTATAAGATTTTCTGGCTACCACCTCATTAGAGGATAGGGAACTCCAGGACAAATGAGGAACTAGCAAAGCAAGTATTCAATATCATCTCAACTACTCTATTATTTTTAACCTGACAAGAGAGGTATTTTCTTCCTTTAGGATATCTTAAATTACTTCATTGTGGCAAGCCCCATCAGGAAGAATGTGAAATTTGTTTTAATTCAGAGGAAAGGAGAATTTTACTGGGAACATGAGTTTATTGAAGGATTGGGGGAAGCCCTAGCAACGGATGGGGAGGGGGTATACATAAACTCCATGGGCTGATAAATTTTTTTTCTGCTTTTTACTCCCCAAATCCCCCTAGTATACGGTTGTATATTTTAGTTGTGAGTCCTTCTAGTTGTGGCCACCTTCTAATTGTGGAACACCACCTCAACGTGGCCTGATGAGCGGTGTGATGTCCACGCCCAGGATCTGAACCAGCAAAACCCTGGGCCGCCGAAGTGGAGCGCGTGAACTTAACCACTCGGCCACGGGGCCAGCCCCTGTTAAATTTTTAATATCTATGTTTATTGATATTGATGGGAACATGTACAAAGTGGCCATGGTGGGACAGATGGAGGTTATGCCTGGGCCTAAAAGTATGGGCCTTGAATTATCTAAATGAATACAGCTTTGCCACTGTTGAATGTCCAACTTTCCAGCACCAGAAACCAACGTTAAGCCTCAAATATGGTGACTCGTTGAACAGATTGGGACTTTTCACCCTGAAAAGGCCAATAATTCTTTTG